TCACCTCAGTATAGGAGAGATATCGAGGGGCTGGAGCGAGTGCAGAAGAGAGCAACAAAGCTGGTGAAGGACGTGGAGAACAGACCTTACGAGGAGCGATTGAGGGAGCTGGGTCTGTTCAGAGGAGGCTGAGGGGGGATCTCATCATGCTCTAGAATTACTTAAAAGGACATTGTAGAGAGGTTGGTGCTGGTCCCTTCTCACAGGTAATTAGGGACAGAACCAGGGGGAGTGGTTTCAAGTTGCAACAGGGCAAGTTTAGACTGGACATTAGGAAGAAATTCTTCCAGAAAGAGTGGTCAGACACTGGAACAGACTGCCTAGGGAGGTGGTTGAGTCGCCATCCCTGGATGTGTTCAAGTGTCATTTAGATGTGGTGTTGGGTGATATGGTTTAGGGGTGAACTTGTAGGGTAGGGTTAATGGTTGGACTCGATGATCCCAGGGGTCTTTTCCAACCTGAATTGTTCTATGATTCTATGATTTTTGGATCGTTATTGAATGCATTTTGTCTGCCAGTGAAAGTTAACTAAATAATCTGTGTTCAACATATAAAATGTCATGCAAGGGAGGAATAACCACTATATTTTCTAGCTGTGTTTTATGCTGCTACTGTGAATGGTATGCTGTGACTTAGCTCTTCAGAAAACTTCATGTCTATTAGAAGACCAGTGACTAATGTCATTTGATTAGTGATTTCAAGATAACGTTGGTAAGCGTGAATAGGTTCCTCCCCCCTCTACTGTAGTGAATGCAGTGTTTAGGTTTTATTTCTGGCTAATAATAATTATTAGAGTTTTATATAAATTCTGTAGGTGATCATCAGCACCCTGCAAAGTTAAAATCTGCAGACCTATACCTTCAGCCACTAATGAAAATGAGAGCCTGCTTAAGATAATTCCTTGAGCTGGATCTCAAGTACTGGTTGATGGAGCACTTAAGAGCTACCTCTGTGGAAGAACTGAGAGCTGCTGGAAGATGCTGAACTGGTCAGTGTGATCAGTTCTGCTGATCAGTAGTGCTGAACAGTGCTTCAGATAATGTTATTTTAATCTGCCAAATTGTTCAAAACCTCCAGATGTCGTGGTGAAGCCAGCTTTGCCAGTCTTTTATCTGAGTGGCGTTTCTCGGGTCTGAATGCTGGTACCTCTATTATATATGTATCTCCTTCAAAGGAGGAACTCTCTATCACTCAGTCTGGCAGTGCTTCTGTAGAGGCCTGATGAATCCTTCTAATAAAAAAAAATAATCCAGAAATCTGAGGGCTTTTTCTATCTCAGTGCGAGTGATTGCAGCTATTTCCAATTCCAGGTCAAATAATTTTGTACCTGAACACTGATGCCAGGCAAGAATGATGTTACGATTTAAGCACTTTATTAAAAAGGGAGAGAGTTATATTTTTCTATTTTTCTTAAGTCTGAGCAAACTGAAATAGGAGCTTGGTCAGATTTCTGACAAATGCACGTCATTCTTAATATTTCTATGACAAATGTTAATGTTGCTCTAGGTCTTGATTCCATGTGACTCCCTGAAAAGAAAATCAAATCCCTACTGCTGAATGCTAATAGATCACATCCCTTTAGAAACTTTGGAGGAATACAAAGGGAATAAAAGTTTGCTTGCTTGTTTTTTCTTGATCTGCTGCCATATTCAACATCAGCTAGCATTTCTGCTTTGTCTTCTTTCTGTCACATCAGCATAGCAACTGAGTAGGCAAACATGACTGGAAGCCAGGGAGATATACGGTAATGTGGGATGGCAGCAAAGGATTTATAAGACCTTTTTTTTTTTGTTGTTTTTCCCAAGCTGAGTTGCTTAAGATTACAGCCGCATCTTCTAAATATTGGTGAGGAAAAACTGTTAAGGATGCAGGGTTTGATTAAATCACTTCCTGAACTAGCTATGCAGAGTGATGCCTGATTGTGTGGTGAACTCTAGTTCAGGAGCCGCAAAGACCTTATGGAGTCTTTCAGGATGGTGTGAAGACAGTTTATTAGGGTCTTGCTGCTTAAAGTTGCAGATGAAGGGGAAAAAACTTTTGATTTTTTTTTTTTTCCATAGTCCTGGTGATTAGAGCATTGGAAAGCAATGATCCAAGAGGTACAAGCCTTCTTCCTCTTGTAAGAGAGCTTGTGTGCAGGGCTGCCATGGCAGCAGCAAAAGATTTTGGGGGAGAGAGAGCAATTAGTCCACCTGTCCATACAAACCTCTGCAGAGTGACTAAAATGAAAGCAGTTAATTGATAATGGTAGATCCAGGATACATTTGCAATGTGCAAAACAGTCTACACCAGTGTCTAATTTCCTTGCAGACTACAAAGTGCCTTTAACTGGTTTATATGTCCATATCTCTAGATATATCCATAAGAACGTGCCTTTAAACTCAGTTCGTATGAGCTCACTTGATAGCCTGTTGGTGTAAAGGTCCACTCTCCCTTGCCCTTTCTGTGTTTTCTGTGTTGATGTGACTTGTACATTAGAAGCACCAGCTGCATATAAACAGACACAGGATGGTTTAAAATAACAGGTCCTTAAAAATAAATTATTTTGTGAGATTGTGGCATTGGATGGATTTAGCTGCTGTGAAGCTGCACTGCTTGTGAGTGCTTTTCATTGCCATTGTCTGCCCAAGGTGCTGGCTGTGGAAAGGTTGGGTGCTATTTGCCACTGACTTTAACTTGCCAACTGTGAGAAACAGTGTGGTGGCAACTATTCACCTGACTGACGTTTTGGTGAAAGGGCATGGCTGTGACATGCTCCAGTGCGAGGTTCTTATGGCAGTGTGTAGTGTACTGGGACTCCAACCTTGAGTGTTAGGTCACTCTTCTAGAGGATCAGAATTCCGGAGTGGTGAAGGTTTTTGAAGAGAGCTGGAGTGTATGTCTCTACAAGACCTTATCTAGCTCTTGAAGGCAAATACTTACTTTAAACTACCGTGAGAAAAGCCTCAGGTGCTAAAAGTCTTTGAGAACCAAAGTACTTTGGCTGTAGTGTATAATGTAAAATACGCAGAAATCTTTTGAGAGCAAGTGGTAGTAGATAGCAAATTGTGAGTGCCCATAGCCCCTCGTGGGAAGACTGTGTATTTGTAACTCCTGCTGAGCTACGAGTATAAATCATACCGCGTGTAAATATGAGAGTGTCTCTCTGAGAGGACAGAGCCACTCTTGTCATGCCCAAAAGGAGACACTCACTTCCCTTTCCTTGGAGCTTCTTTCCTCCTTGGCCATGGCTGGTTAGTTTTATCCTACTTTGGTGAATATAGTATGTGAAAGATCTTTAAGAGAGCACTTTGGTAGAGCAAATGGATTATTTAAACTGTATTCAGCAGTTGAAATGTAAAAGAACTGGATTGATTTTTTCTTTGCTTATCTCAGTGTATTTTTTTTTGTTTCATTATCACTAGATGTCCATTAAGTACTTTCTGTTCCTCCATTTGCTTATGGTAGGCAGCTACTCCTGAATAAATTAGGAGAGGCAATATAGAGAGGGTAGGATTATGTTGGCTTGTGACTGTTGACTCACTTTCCAAAGAAAGAATAGGCTCAGTTGTATAATCCTATTTTTTTTTCTTCTTCGTTCTAGCACATCAGTTCACTATGTTATTGTTTTCATTGCAGCCTGCTAAGTTTGCAGAACAAGTGACTTCTTTGAATGTCAAAACTGACTAACTTCATAGCATCACTCAGTAGAAAGTGCCTTTTTTTTAGGATGAACTCTGACATTTTGAACACTGCCTATCAGAAAAAATCCTTTCTGTATACAGTATGGTGAAATACTAAGCCAGCAGCAAAATTCTTGTATGTAGGTGTGTGTTAGGTGTGTTTCTCCACACCCACTCCATTCAAACAGTGTGGCCAGAATGCAAATAAAGAGAAATCCTCACTTCTGTGAGGAGGTGGGGTGTATGGCTGAGGTCATGCTTACAAGGCAATGCTACCTACTCACCAGTGCACTGAGATTCAAAACATATTTAAGACTTTCTTGTGCCATGCCCTCATGTTACATGTAAAATATTTGGGTGGAGAAGCATAGAGTAAACATTGAGGAAAATATTTCCTTTTTCTCTGAACTGTAAAAAAGCAGCCACGAAGGAGAGGGGAAAATACAGTATTTCTAGAACTGGCAAATAGTAATATCAAACCAGTTTCACTGCAAGATGACTATCATCTGTCTCCTCACTGTCCCAGATATCTTCCTAGGTATCTGAAGTAGTGTCTCTGGCTCTGGGCTCCCCAGTATAAGAGAGAAGTCAAGCCACTGGAGAGAGTCTGGCAGAAGGCCACTAAGATGATGAAGGCCCTGGAGCATCTCTCCTGTGAAGAAGGGCTGAGAATGCTGGGACTATTGAGCCTGGAGATGAGAAGGGTCAGGGTATCTCTCATCAGTGTGTACAAATACCTGACAGGGAGGGTATAAAGAAGACAAACAGGCTCTCTTCAGTGGTACCCAGTGCCAGAGGCAGAACACAGGAGGGTCTGTCTGAACATCAGGAAATGCTTTTTTACTGTGAGGGTGACCGAGTGTTGGCAGAGGTTGCCCAGGGGCTTTGCGGAGACTCTCTCCTTGGAGATATTCAAAAGCCGTCTGGACACAGTCCTGGGCAGCCATCTCTAGGTGGCCCTGTTTGAGCTGGGGGGTTGGACCAGGTGACCTCCAGAGGTCCCTGCCAACCTTGTCAGCCATTCTGTGGAGCTCCTCCAGATTAGATTAGATTTAGATTTACAATAGGACCGCTTAAGCACTGACTTCACTATGAAATCATATCCCTCCCATTTGTTTTTGATGCCGTCACTGAAAACTTCATACATCATGTGCCTTATTTTCTCTGTTGCACCTGTCAGTGAAAGCATGTGCAAGGTTTTTTTGTTTGTTTGTGGTTTTTTTGTGGTTTTTTTTGTTTGTTTTTGTTGGGTTTTTTTGAGGGACCTAGTAGGCACAATGATGTGGTTACAGCGTTAGTTTTGCAGAACAGGATTTTTATTGTATCTTTCCTTTACAGGTGGTTGGAGGCAAGGTAAAGAAACCAGGAAAGCGAGGTCGTAAACCAGCCAAAATAGACTTGAAGGCAAAACTTGAAAGAAGTCGCCAGAGTGCAAGAGAGTGCAGAGCCAGGAAGAAGCTGAGGTACCAGTACCTGGAAGAGCTGGTTTCCAGCAGAGAGCGAGCCATCTGTGCTCTCAGAGAAGAGCTTGAAATGGTAGGAAACTATCATTTAACCTCACCCCCAGTATTATTTGGGACCTATCCTTGGGGACATTTGTTTTCAAAATCACTGTGACCGAGAGCAGGGTTTGGCTAACCGTAAGGTATCAAAACATCAGTAACAGATGCATTCAGCTGTTTGCTTACTTTGCGTGTTGAATACGACCCTCAAGTCCCAAGTTATCTGCTGGTTTTGAGCTGGAAGCAAGCAAAGAAAGTGTGTTGTCTTTGGAATGTTTGTTTTGGAAAACTTCTGACAAAGGTAGAAAGAGATAAAAAGTGGTAGAGGGTGAAAAAGGATACGTTAAAATATCAAGGAGGAACATAAATCCACAGCATGTCATTGCTTCCTGCAGATCTTGGTCTCTGCTGGGGAGCTTGGTTCTTGCAGTGTACTCTCTGTGTAGATTGTTGCACAGCTGTCCTGTGTTCCAGCACATATACAGTGGGTGTCTTGGCCAAATAAGCTGCTTTATCCAAAGAAGATGCTTCATCTGGAAATACAGACTCAGCTCCTCAGTGACACTGAGATGCCATTGAAATTTTGCCAAAGCTGAGGATATTGCCTTGACTTTGCATTACGTTTGTTTGAATGGGCAGGACTACTCACCATGAGTGAATAGGGTTGGGATTGGGTAGAAAGTTAGCCAACTGACCACAGGTTTTTCTGTGTGCTTCAGGGTTTGCCAATGAAGAATTTAACGTGAGTGAACTAGGAGTAAGGAAGGCACATGTGCTATAACCGTGCCTTGCATTATCAGAAAGGACCTCTTAATAGTCAGTCAGCCCCAGAGTCATGTGAAATATTTGTTTTTAATAAGCCATGAACTGGAACAGTATTCTGGCATGCCAGCAGCGAGAAAATGCACAAAGTGTTCCGTGTTGTTTAATAATTAAAGTATTGTGTCTCGTACTGCCGCTGAGTAGCAGTTTATTGACTGAAATGGGATTTGGTGAGGCCAGGTATGCAGCCGTGGACACGTGCTTAGCTCATTAGTGCTCTGCAGTCTTGTAAGAGGCTTCAGCCCAGTAAATTCAAACCTTAAAAGACTATACCGGAAGGTAAAGATTACAGCTCTGTTTTGTCTGCTAATGTGATCCTGGCAGTTTGCTAATGCCTAATGTGTTTGCATATTTCAGTACAAGCAGTGGTGCATGGCGATGGACCAAGGGAAAATCCCCTCTGAAATAAAAGCCCTGCTAACTGGAGAGGAGCAAGGCAAAGCACAGCAGAACTCAACCAAACTTGCCAAGGCTGGGAAGACAGAAGCAAACAGCAGCAACCCCTGTAAGTATCCAGCCTGTGATTAATTCCTATTTTGTTACATCTTCTGTGGTGTAGGAGGATGGCTGTGGTGTGGGAAGAAACATAAGGATATGTTTTAGGGCACAAATAGCTGATTGAAGGAAAGAGGTTAGTGGGTGGTACAAAGACTGTGTAGTGTTTACATGGACAACACAGAAATTACACTAGCTAGGAAGCTGGGCAGTTCTTTTAAAAGAAGACTTAATCTTTGTATTTCATCAAGGCCCATGGAGACCTGTGAAGATTCGAGACCTTAATCTTTTACAGCATTTTCTGTTTTCCTAGTGCAAGGTAAATGGTGCACATAAAACATAATTGAATTTTTAAAATTCCATCAAAAGAATATTATTCTAGCTGCAAGCACTTGGAAGTGAGAAGTGCTGGACTTGGGATTTCCTATGGAGTCTTCTTTTTGCCTCAGTGATGCTTGTCCAGGGAAATGAGTTTCTTGAGGGAATTGAAAGGTGAAAATACCATGTGATGCTGTCATATTTTTGCATTACATGAAAAGGAACAGAGTAGCATGGGCAATTCTATATCTCGCACCTAATTTTGTAATATTTCATGCTACAGGTTAAACTGCACTTTGCTGTAAGTTTTTAAAAAGTAGAAACTCTTAGATTTATATTTTTAAGAAACAACATGAAACCCACCTTTGTAGCTGTAAAAGTCTTCCCCTGTGGTGCGTCATTCACAGGAGGCCAGTGCAGAACCTTCCCTGCTGCAGCAGAGCTTCTGTGTTGGCTGGCAGAGGAACGCTGTTGTGAGAAGTGGATGCATCCCCACATGCAGGGGGAAGGATCCCAGTCTGCTGTCTTCTCTTTGCTCCTCCCCACAAGAAACTCTTGGATTACGGTGTTCCTAAGCCTGCGTGGAGTGGGGCTGTAGGTGTTGGTGTAAGCAGAGGCTTGTTCTTCCTTTCTCTACATCACCCTCCCAGAACAGAGCTATGGCAGCTTTTGGATGTTAGCAGTAAGAGGTGGGGGGTGCTTTTATGTCATAGCCCAGAATTAGACTGGTTTTGTAGTCACTAACTTTTGTGAGAGTCTGAGAGGTTCTGTAAAATAAAAACAAGAGGAGGGTCTTGTCACAGTTTTGCGAAAGCCAACTGAAGTGCTGGAGGTCGAGGAGAAGAAACTGGATCAAAAGATTTCAGTGGGAGGTTTATAGTCGTGTAATTTGTAACCTAAATAAAGAAGTTGCTCTCAGCATCCTTTTATAATGCAACATGACTTTTATGTTATTGAGACTGGTAAAGAGAAAGAATGTGTTCCCTGCTTTTGCCCATATTGTTTTCCACGGGGTGTATTTGCCACACCCCGTGTCCCCAGTGTGGTAGTCAAAGCGTGTCCCTCCACCTTGTTTGCAGCAGGGGAACAACTGCCCTCTCCTCCCATGCGTTGTGCCCAACTATCTTTCTGTATCTACCTGTGCTTTGGGCACTAGTGGCTTTCTAGACTGCAGCGTACAGCTAATTCTGCTGTGCTGCCCTGGTTTCCCAGCTGAAGATAATGCCAAGGACTGCTAGCAAGGAAAAAAAGTTGCATCAGTTTGGTTTTACGATAAGAGAGGTGATGGCAAAACTCTTGGGGTATGATTTACTCATCCCAGATATTGACAGACAGCCTGCCACCTTCCTTAGGCTGCCCTTTCTCCTGTTTTATGCTTTTTACATTTCTATGATGCAATGTGGAGAGTGGAGCTCTTGGGATTTTTTAGTGGGGATTTTGCTTGCTTACTCTGTTTTATTTATGACAGTATCTTTCTCTGTATTTTGTGACATGCATGGAACATTTTTGAATTGTTTCTTCTTTGTTTCGTAGAATAAATATTATAATGAATGACTGCTAGACTGAATGTTGCCTTCTTTTTTATTGAACTAATTGGGTCTGTTTAGCATTGTCTCAGTTCAGGATTAATCGAAAGCACTGAAATAATAAAGTGCCATATTTCAGTGTACAGCAGAGTTGTTTTCAGAATTCCTTTCTGAGCACTCATACATTAATGCTTAAGGCATGGGTCTAAGTTTATTCTGTAGACTCTCCACACATGTACTTAGTTAGCAATTGCTAGAAATGTTGCATAAACATGGAAAAACTATTATGAATGGTTCAGTAACAGTGAAGCAGAGATGAGGAGGATATAAGGCTTCCCCCTGCGGCTGTATGTTAATCTCTGAACTGCACTTTGTCCTGAAAGATAGCAACAAAGCCAACCCATAAGTTTTGGGGGTCTTGTTGATTTTGAATGCTTGCCTGACCTTTTTCTGGATTCTCTGGAGGCAAAGAGCCACTAGGCTAGATGTCCAGAACTATGCTCAGTGAGTCTTGCAGTTGGATTTTTGTAATGTGATCATGCCAGAAGTGTAATATATTATTTTTTGTTAGAATTGGACTTAACACAGTCTACTTTCAAATGTAAACTGTTTATTGTAATTAAATGTATATTTCAAATATTATGTGTATACTTAAATGTCTTTCTGAATCAGAGATGCAGAGAACGTGTGGAGGAGTTACAGTATGCGTGACCAGAACAGCTCCAGTCAGCACTAGGCAAAGTGACAAATGCAGCTCTGATCTCACCAAAAATAGCCCACTTCCTCTCTCCCCTCCACTCTATCTTGGTTTCTCTTTTTGTGATACCAGGCAAGAAACTTCTCAAGAGTTAACTTTCCTTTTGTGGAGGAAACAGAGGTGGAATTTCTCATCGTGATGAACAACAGTCCTGCTTCTCGGCATAGCCAGCCGCTGGCAATGAGAGAATTGCGTTTGGCAAGCCTGGGCCCAGCTCTGTGGCACCAATAGTGGCATCTGTCTTCTAACAGATATTTGGTGCTTCATGCTGATGGAGCGGGAGGCATGTTGCAGCCTACGTCATCTGAAAGAGTTTCCTTGTTTTCCTGCAAGCCAAAATACATCTGACACATAGAGGCTCTAACTGAAGTTTTCCAACTGCCTCTAGATGCTGTAGTTCCTTATAAGATGTAGGGTCCTCAGCAACAATCACTAATTGTGTGAAGTTCTGTGGCCTCCATTCCATAGCAAATCGTGCTATGCCATAAATGTTCTGATCTTAGATGGATCTTTGAGAGTCCTTTATTTTGGTGTTTGATATTTATCAGTTCCCCTTGAAAACTAAATGTTTGTGGTTCATGCTCATTTGATACTCTTATGCTTACAATCTTCGTCCACACTGAGGTGGCTTCTAGAAGTGAACCAGGACTGCTTACCAGGAGTCCCAAATAGTACCCTAAATAATGGAGAGTAGTTTAGTCTCACCCTGCCTCTGTGTAAGATGGGTACAGCCTTCCACCCTTTTCTCCTGCAGTGTGTGTGGCTGGTTCTCTCTCACAAATATTGAAGAGAGAGGCGCTCGCAAATGCTTCGTTTTCCCACTTGCCATGGAAGTCTAATGGTCAGCTAGAACCATTTGCCCAGTTCAAGACGGGTTTCCACAGTCTTCAAAAATACATAGTCTGTAGTGTTTACAACAGTGCTAGAACTCTGTCGCAGTGAGGTGTAACAAAACTGAACTCAGCTGATGCTGATGGAGTAAGCACAGCATAGTTACACTAATCCTTCTGGAGAGTGTAACCCAAGGATTTACCAGATAGTGGAAAGTTTATAAGAAAAACATGCAATAAGTCTTGTCGTTTTATACACTGTATATATGCTTTGTGCCTACAATCCTGAAAACCAAAGTAGATACATTTAATTGACTGGTCACTTAACTGCAAACATTCTGTAATTATATATAAAAAAATTTTTAAAATCACAGTCTGCTTTCATAAGCTAATAATAATAAGTGTTTGTCAAAGAATCTATATTCTGTTAAGTGCTTTTCAAAAGACTATTACAACTTCTATTGGAGGTGTTTGTTTTTTCGATGTATTAGATATATTTCAAAAAGCTTTTTTCTTTCTTGGCAGTTGAAACCTGCCAACCTGCTTTGTAAGAGTGCACGCAACTGATTTGTTTTCTCTTCTTTTTTTCCCTTTAACATATTAGGGTGAAGATTAACCTACATCAATAATGAATCTAGTTCCTCCTGTCATCCCATGAAGAGATGGAGGAGATTTGGCATCTTAGTTCCATATGCCATGTTCCAAGAAATTATAATCTCTGTAATTAGCTATAAAACTACTGCTAACATAAGGACCAAAGTTTGAGACTAGTCTAAAAATGCAGAGAAGTCAGAGGAAAAGCTGAAATAAAAACCCTAGTCCTTCTCGTTATGCTTAAATTACAGCCTGAGTGACAAGAGGATTGGCTGATGTAGAAATCCCCGCTGTAGGTAAGCAGTGTCCTGCTTAGTGCCACAGAGCGTTAATTTCTCTGTAAATTATGTCAATAACTGTGTTACTTGTATGACTCTGTTCTGAATTTGTATGCAAAAACATACGCTTCTAATCTGCAGTCAAATTGGAGGTATCCCCTACTGAACAGTGCATCAGTGGCCTGAAATGCAACTGATGCTGTATTTATGGAATGTGTAGATCTGTATTTGTAGATACGGCAGTAGAATGTGTAGTGTCAATTACAGCCATTGCCTTAAGCAATTTCTGTAAAGGCTATTGCTTAATATTTATACCATGGTTTGTATTTTCTTTATCTTACTTTAAATTGTAATTAGAAAATGCTGTCATTGTTCAGCTAATGATTTTCAGCAACACTTCATTAAAAAAACTTTAAAAATCCTCAAAGATGACTTTCAGGTGGTTTTTTTCCCTCCATAAAAAGCACTTGGGAGGTTTTGCTTCCATAATTAGTGCAAGATTAGCTCTGCTTTTTTGCATCTCTCCCTGTAACTCACAACTGGCTTAATCAGTACTTTGGACACTAACTACTGCTTCAAGCAATTATTCTATAAATTCTCTATGTATTAGGGTGACTAATGGTGACATTCTTAACTATGCTGCAGCTGATGGGTATTCTGGTGATGAAATAAGTTTGACTGAAAGACTAGAAGTGGATTATAAAATGTGTGTGTTTGTGAGATGGTGTTGAGTGTGAACAGAAACAGCTTGCCCTGAAGGGTGACTTTTTCCATACTTTCTTTGTCACAGCAACTTTCAAAACACATTTTGTTCAAGCTATACAGTGCTGGCGACAGCAATGCTGCATATTCCTGTGGTAGAGCATACCAGCAGTGTCCTCCAACCTCACCATCTCCTTATGTGGCGTGCTCTGAATGCCTGCTGATGTAAGAACAATTCTTTCCTACTCGCTATCAAACATAGATCCTGCCGTGTTGCTAGGTCAGTGTTTTTTGTTTTGAATTTCTGGACTTTTTCTTTCCTCTCCCCTAAGCAGTGCTTTGAAATATCCCACTTTGCGGTATGCGTTCCTTTTTCCCTACAGGAAGAAAGAGTCTTCTGTGAATCTCCTTTCTTCCCGAAGAGGTCTGGCAGTTATTTTAGAGAGCTGTCAAGGGTTCTTTTTCCAGAGGGCTATATAAAACCAGGAGTTATTCAGTGGTTTCTCTCTGCCTCTGTGCACACACAGTACCACACCCACCACCTCACGCTGAAACCCCCCTTCTGCATTTTAAGCTCTTGGTAACATCAGGGCAAATACCCCTTTGCATTGCAAGCTCTCAATAATCTCATCACCCTTTGTAGCTCAGGACCCACTTCTTCTTTCTGTCTGTAGCCTAGCGGAAGCAGTGCTGGTACCAGCTCATCCCAGAGCATTTTCTTTTTTCCCCTTCTTCAAGCTGTGTGATCAGGAGGAAAGCAACACTGTCAGCAGACAGAGGCAACGGACAGCAATGACAACAGTGCCCAAATGTAGATATTGGGTGTGTGTTGAAGCAGTTCTGTTACTCACAGAGTTGTAGGTGGTCTTGCACTTGAAACACTGAGATTTAGATTATTCTATTACTTGTACTTCTGTAATATTCCAGGTTGTCCAGCATTTTTCCCAGTGACAGTGT